TTACCAGTTTTGTTCAAATATATTGACTGTATAATTAAGGCAACTCTGTTAATAATAGGTTCTTTTGGTTATATATCCTTGACAGTTAATAACTTATTTCCAACATTTACATTGCGTTTTCTAGGTCCACCGAAGAAGTTATTGCAAGGCATGCAGTTTTTGTCATAAATCAATGTACATTGTTTCATTGCATGACATTACCCAAACAGTCTCATTTTGCCTTGAGATACCCTGCGTGAGTAGTATACAAAATAGCGCTATTTTGTATACTACTTGCGTGCATAGGATTTTTCCAAAATCCTCTGCTCGCAGGGTACCTTGAGAGTACTACAACACTATTTTGCTGTGATTTAATATCACTGCACATGCAGGGTGCTTGTTTTTTTCTACATCTCTACTTAAATTAAACTTAGTATACAAGATTTTGAGACTTTTATAAGTATGGGATAAATATTCGCAAATCAAAGTTAAATTGTTCATTTTGTGTTCTCTACCTTTCCTGAACCATAATTTGCGATATACTTGTAAATACATCCTTACAATTCAATTATTCAAAATACGTGTAAAAGTTGTTTGCTTGGGATTCTGCGTGGTTTTCGATTACGTTGAGGTGGTCAGTTGAATCCGTCACATTCAGAAGCAACGAGCTTGGCATATCGATACATTTTTGTTTTGACCTGGGACTTTTATCGTGACTTATAATGACTTTATAAGTTCTCAAAGAAACTTTAGAAGTAAAGTTTCTCAAAATAGGTTCTTTATAAATTTTCATAATATTAGTTTCATGAAATGCATCAGTATAAATACAATGTACAAATAAAAAGAAAACAAAATGTGATGTCACAGTACTTTTAAATCGAATTTAACACCAACAAAACTGGATTTGCATTGAAAGTTCTTTAAGGTTACTGCTCCCCTTCGCGGGGTGCCTCTGTAAAAAAATCATATCTTGGCTTGATTAATTAATACGTAAACATATTATATATCGTTTTGAAGCTAACACAGTAATCTAAACGTCTATGACATTGCTTTGTAATAATAATTATTAAGTAATTTATTACAAATTAATAATCAAAAATCGAGTCCAAAGTTTTAAAAAGTTAAATCGAAAAGAGTATTTATTTTTCAGCAAAGTTTGTACAGTATATTGGTCACTATATGTTGAACTTAAAAACGGTGTGAACGCTTTTTGATATTTTTTTTTATTTGCGGAGTTATTGCCATTTTTTTTTTTAATAATAACTTTATTAAAAGAGAATGGTAGCCATTGGAGGCTAAATTGTACTCTTAATTACAATAATCTTAATTAATTAAGATGATAGGATATTTAAACAATGAAATTATAAATACATATATACATATATAATAATGTTCACTTATTATCAGATAGGATTAGATTAAATCAACGTCCTCTAGATGACAGGTTCCACGACCTTGCGGCCTGGCATATAAAATTGTTCATGGATCGTTTGGTCTTGTAGACAGGAGTCWTGTAAGTCGGGCCWTTTGTAGAATACCTTGTTGCGTATGGGTTGTTATACAGTTCAGGGAGGAGACCATGGAGTTTATGATGCTGGTTCTGCATCGACAGGAAAAACGACTTGCAGAGGTCTTCAAGCCTTTCCTTCACTCGTGGAATCCTTGCTTGCAAGCAGGCTTCGTTGTAGCTGTGATCCGGGTATATAACTCGCATCGTTCGCCTTTGGATGGATTCAAGTTGTTCGAGGAGGAAATTCGGGGTGCTGTAGAACCATGCTTGGCAGGCATACTCAAGGACTGATCTGATACAAGTTGTGTAGAACGTGACAAGGTCTTGTTCGGCAACACTTGCTCTTTTTAGGAGGCGTACAGAATAAATCCTCTTAGAGGTCTTCTTAATTAGATGCTCAATGTGAGCATTCCACTTCAGATTAGATGATATAATTAGGCCTAATAATTTATAAGATGTTACTCGTTCAATTGGTCTGTCATCGATAGTAATGTTACTGATTGTAGGTGTTTTCCTTTTGAAGCAGACCAACATTTCCTTGCATTTGGTGGGGTTTAGCTGCATCTTCTTGTCATGAACTTCACGACAGATATCATTGGACTTTTCTTGAAGAGAACTTATAATGTCAACGTCAGCACGGAGAGTTTCACCAAGAGTGATGTCATCCATGTACTTCCAGCACCAGCTTTCACGGTGAGCCAGGGAGTTTACCATGATAAGAAATAACGTTGGGCCCAAGACACTGCCCTGTGGGATGCCCGCAGGAAC